GATCTTGTTTTCTTCTTCCCCCCACTCTGGGAAAAAAAAATGTATCTAAGGGTTATATTTCATAAGCAGCAGAATTGTGTTTCATGGGCAGACTGTTACTCTTTGGAGAGTGTATCTTCCTCATTTGTTTGGATTTATTTAGACTCTGGGATACATGAACTGTGTCTGTGGGAAAGTCAATAATGAGATATAACTTACCTTTCAGTTCTCTTATTGTATCCCCTAGTTGTGGCTCACATCAATGAGCATATAGAAGTCTTGGTCAGAGCCACCCATGCAGGAATGTCCAGATTTTGCCTGACCCTGTGCAAACGACACATTTTCCTCAGTGCTTCTGCATGCCAACACAAGCCCCAGAGACAGCCATCTGTCTGGCTGTTGGATAGATAATCACTAACATTAAAAAAAGTATTAGAAAAATACATGTTAATAGTACTATATAGCAAAAAGGCTCTTCTGATTTCAGTAAAGAACATTAACATCTGTTGGCTGCTTAACATCGCCTGTTTGCCTTTGGCATGTTGGGATTTATCTTAGCCTAGTGTAATAAATGGAAATGTCACCATTTAATTAAATGGCTTCAGGTCAAATCCATCCAGTGATTACTCTGTGTTGAAGTTCACAGCAATAGCATTCTTTGCTTATTGGTACAAATTTTCTGTTAGCGTTGCTAAGTTTCTGGTAATTGTTTGTGTTACATACCTTTGTGTAAATTTTTTGTAAAGTAATGAGAGTCATGTCAGTGATTTATATTTAATAAAATGAATATCCTGTTAATCAGTAAGTACAAAAGCAGTTTGCATGAAAACAAAATGCTTTAGGTTATTTATAAAACCATTCAAAATGCATTATAAAATGGTTTTAGTGAATTAATGTTTGCTGTCTTTTTTTCCTAAAGGAGGTTTCACGATTGTAGGCAACAAGAGTTAACTTCAGGATGCTAAAAAGGAAACAAAGTTCAAGGGTGGAAGCCCAACCAGTTACAGATTTTGGTCCCGATGAATCTTTGTCAGACAACGCAGATATTCTATGGATTAACAAACCAGTGGGTATCTCTTTCTGTAATTACTAACTTTAGGTTAAATGTAATTTGTACTGTTGAAATATGACTTCCACTTCTGTTTGTCAGAAACACGTATTGAGCTATAGTTGCTAATCTACCAGTTATTTTTTTAAAAAGTCCAAAACTAAAAAAAACCCCAGGCATTTCTTTTGGCTATTGCAAAATGATGGGATGATCAAGCAGTGTTTTCCAACCAGTTCATCTACTGATTAATTCTTTTAAAACAGCCATCCTTTCAATGTCTCTGGTTCCTGACGTGGTTGCACTTCTGACTTTCAAATCTCTCCTTTTACATCATGTATATCGTAATATAAATATATTTTGGCTGTTTATTTTGAAGTACACCTCTCATTTTTCTGATATCATTTAACTTATAATCTGCCCTAAGAAATAGATAGGTGCAAAAGTGGCGTCTTGAAACTGGGGAAAATTTCATTAAGAGTGGAGTTAATAATGGAAGGTACAATATTGAGAAAATGTCTTTCCTTTGTAAATATTACTAATCTGGACTGAGTATGCAAATGATAGAGCTATTCAATTCAGGTCAAATATCATTACACTTAGGTGAGCGAATAGTGAGCATTAAATTAGGTGCCTATTCTTAAGTCTTATGTCTGAAGTGCTATAAATCAGTGTCAAATTTGAAAAAGTTCAGTGTTTCTTGTTTGGAGTTTTTTCTTGTTGAAAAGAACTTCTTGTTTTGATAGGTATGACCTTAACAACTCTGATTCATTACATTTGTGTGGCTTAAAGTTGTTTTGGTTTAAAAGAAAAAAAAAACAGCCTTAAACCCTTGTATTAATATGTTCTGCTTTTTTTGTTACACCTGCCTTTCTGAGTGGCACTTAATATCAGCCTTATGAATAAGGAGTGGGTCTGAGACCTAAGTAGTAATAGAAATTAACTGTTCTCTTATAGCAACAAAACTTGATTGGAACAGAAGTGAATCCTGATCTTAAGTAGCATTCTGTGACACAGTCTCTTTTATATTTATTCTTTTCATAAATGGAAGGATGCTTTTAATCCTGTGCCTCACACACTTAATTTTTGGAGTTGTATATTGATTTAAAAATAATTTCTGCTAAGTGTTGAACTAAAATTGTCAACAGATATTTTCATTTAATGTATTTACCCAGTTTATAACTCCAACTAATTCTACTTATTGTCTGCCCATAAATGTGGCAAGTTGTCATTTGAAAAGAAATTAAATTACAAGTTCTGCAAAGTAGAAATTATGGAATCCTAATTCTCAGTTTCATGGTTCTTAATTCTTGGTTTCTGAATTATACAACCTCACAAATTACCTAATAAAATTCTGTATGTGCATATATAATTTTAAGTAATTTAGGAGTGCTTGGTTTTGGTTAAAGACCTTTAATATATGCATCATGAGGTAAAAGAACACAAATGTGCTTTTACTAAAGGTGCCAATATAAGTTATGGAGGCTTTTTTTGAAGATCAAAGCAATCTTGCAATAGCTTGGGTTTGCTTGTTTTTTTGTATTTTTTTTTCCAGTGGGTGCACTCTTTACTACGAATCTGTGCCATCATCAGTGTTATTTCTGTTTGTATGAACACTCCAAAGACCTTCGAGCATTATCCGCCTCTCCAGTATGTGACATTTGCTCTTGATACTTTGTTGATGTTTCTTTACACTGCAGAGATGATAGCAAAAATGCACATCCGTGGGATAGTTAAGGTAAGCATTTTAACAGTACTCTATGTGTGCTTCAAGTGATCTGAGTGTATGTTAATGACATTTGGTATTTGTTTTTTAACTTACCAGCTCTTCTTGCTATGATTGTTTTTAACTGCAGGCAATGCTATGGTGTATAAACTGAAAAGACAGATTGACAAAGATGCAGCTTTACTGCATATTTAATCACCCCAAAGTATAATAAAGGTTCCTAATAAAGGTTTACTAGTAAGAAATAGTTTCATTGCATTAGTATAAAAAATGAAAGGAATAAAAAGCTACATATACATTAGGAAGAATATTTTGTAAATGTCTATTGGTCCATATATGGGCTTAGAATTTCGATTTTTGTTTCAGAAGGCTGGATGTGTTCTTGTGTGGTTACTTAAGAGCATATGTCTTACTGTGAGCTAAATGAGAAAGTTATCTTGCTTAAAATTTTTTTTCCTTAGTATAATCCATGTTGGTAAACAAATGCTTCTGTTATACGTCTGCTGTTGTCACTGGGCTAATTTGTATAAGTAGATACAATATTATGGGCTGCAAAACTGCAGAATTTTTCAGTAATTGTGATTTTGTACCATTATTTTACTAATTGCTTCCAGTCTTTTAAAAAAAGATACAAATCAGCTTCCATATAGAAAATCCATCTACAGACCTTATTGACGATGCAATTATGTCACTATTGCACAGAACAGATGATCAGTGTTATCCTTGCTTTTCACTTCTGAAAGGTCTGGTGACTCCAGAGACATCTGATACTGTACTTAAGCTCTTGAAGTTTTTCTGAGTTTGCAGATAGCATTTTTTGTTCACTTCCAAACTAAAATATTATTCATCATACTTAGTGAATATTAATAGTAAAAGTGTCATTAATATTAACATTTAGAAAATTACTGAATAAGATAGTTCTGAGAAAAACTTCATGGGCTGTATAAAGCCAAAGTGCTCTCTTCCTCAGAGATGTCTATTAAGTAGGTGAAGGTAAGGACACAGGATTATGAATGGAGAATTAGTGACCATCGTGCACATTTGGACAGTGTGGGAATAAAAAGTTACTATTACAACCAGTACAGCCTTTGCAGAGAAAAGGACATGTAGATATTAATGCAGAGAGAGAGTTAGGGAGGGGTGGCCAACAGTGTGACTTTAGTACAAAGCTTGATTCCTGAGCTTTTGCGTATGCAAATACCAACTTCACTCACAATTGACACCTAGGGGCTATGAACAATATGCTGCTGCTTAGTCTGTCTTTCACTGGGTTGTTTAAATTTGTGAGTTTGTGGGAAGAGAAAAAAGAAGAGGCAAGGTGAGGTGAGGAGAAGTTGAAAGTGACTGTTGGAAGGGACCTACAACCGTAATATAGTCCAACTGCTTGACCAGTTGACCAGTTTGGGTCTGACCAAAACTTAAAATGCATTGTCCAAATGCTTCTTAAACACAGGCTTGGGGCATTAACCACCTGTCTAGGAAGCCTGTACCAGTGTTTAACCACTCTCTTTACAAAATGTTTCCCAGTTTCCAGACTGAACCTTCCCTGACACAGCTTTGAACCATTCCCATGCATCAGGTCACAGGGTACTGGGGAGATCAGTGTCTCACTCTCCACTTCTCCTCTCCTCAGGAAGCTGTAGAGAGCAACAAGGTTACCCGTCATCTGCCTTTTCTCTGAACTAGACAAACCTAGAGTCCTTAGCTGCTCCTCAGAGGATGAACTTCTCTGTAATTGCCGTATAATGAACTTGTCTTTGAAGCATGTCTGGTGAGCTGGGCCACGCAGAATGCGTAGCTGTCTAGAGTTGGTTTCAATGCCTCAATTTATGTTATACATATATAAATAACAGCATAGATTATTTCCTTTGCACTGACATTTTACTATTTGTCTATTAGATAAACATACACTAAACAGGGAGATTCTGAAGGAAATCAGGGATAAAAAGAGAGTTTACCAACTATGGAAGAAAGGGCTGGCTACTTACGAAGAATTCAGGAAGACAGCTAGATCATGCAGAAAGAAAATCAGGGATGCAAAAGCGCAATTTGGAGTTAAATTGGCCACTTCTGTTAGGAATAACAAAAAGTCCTTCTATAAATACATTAATAACAGAAGGAGGGGCAAAGAAAACCTCCATTCTTTGATGGACTTGGAGGGAAACATAGTTAATAGAGATGAGGAGAAGGCTGAGGTACTTAACACCTACTTTGCCTCAGTTTTTACCAGTAAGACAGGTGGCCCTCAAGGC